AAAAGAAAAAAGTACATGTAGGGTTCAATACTATCCAAGACTTCAAGCATCCACCACTGGTCTTGGAATGACATATCCTTCATGATCTGCCTTATCCTGGGGGATAGGTCCTAAAACTCCCAGTGGATGCCTAGGATGTAGATAGCACCAAAGCCTGTTTTTGTCAATTGGAACGTTTCAGTTCCTCTCTTCCATGCATACATTTAATGACTTTTCCATCTTAACTAAGCATCTATCATATAACATGGCCATTGCTTTTGCAGTTTGATGTATGAAAGCAAAACAAACACAAATTTTTTCTTCTTTACAATTTTATGGGCAGATGATTTAGATAGATGTTAGCAACCTCAGCTCTGGTTGTTTTTCTTTCCTTATTAAATAGAGATTTTTCACTTTTTCACATAAAGAAGCCCTTTCCAGCTTTCTTGGCATATTTGAATTGCCAACATTGCCACTCTTGTGCTTTGGAGCCATTATGAAGTAAAGTAAGGGTGACCTGGACACAAGCACTGCAATACCATGACAAATGGTCTAAGAACCAAGATGGCTACTAAAGTGACCAGGGCGGTGCCTGTGGCTCAGTGGGTAGGGCACCAGCCCCATATTATCAAGGGTGGTGGGTTTAAACACGGCCTGGGCCAAACTGCAACAAAAAAAATAGCCAGGCGTTGTGGTGGGCACCTGTAGTCTCAGGTACTCAGGAGGCTGAGGCAAGAGAATTGCCTAAGCCCAGGAGTTGGAGGTTGTTGTGAGCTGTGTGATGCTACAGCACTCTACCGAGGGTGATAAAGTAAGACTCTGTCTCTATAAAAAAATAAATAAATAAATAAAAATAAAGTGACCGACAAGTTGGGGACTGCATAGTGTGGATTTGCTGGACAAAAGGATAATTCAAATTTCAGGCCAGATGAAAGAGATTTCATCAGGCTACTTAGAACAGTGCACAATTTAACACTTATGAATTGCTTAATTCTGGAATTTCCCATTTAGTATTTCTGGACCACAGATAACTAAAACTGTAGACAAGGGGGGACTACTGTATTATTAAAGGTGCATTTTATTTATTATTTTTTCTATGACAGAGTCTCACTTTGTCACCCTTGGTAGAGTGCTGTTGTGTCACAGCTCACAACAACCTTAAACTCTTGGGCTTAAGCAATTCTCTTGCCTCAGTCTCCATAGTACCTAGAACTACAGGCACCCACCACAATGCCTGGCTATTTTTTTGAGAAAAGGTCTCGCTCTTGCTCAGGCTGGTCTCAAACTCATGAGCTCAGGCAATCCACCCACCTTGGCCTCTAAGAGTACTAGGATTATAGGTGTGAGCCACCATGCCTAGCCTTTAAAGTGTATTTTAAACATGCTAGTTTAAGTGGGCCAGTTTTAAGATAGGCTGAATTTAAATTTACTTACTGCAGCAGACGGGAAGAGCAATCCAACTAAAAAGTTGGAGGTCCAGTTGGAACAACCAGCCACCGCCACTGCAGCTGGGCGGGGTCCCTGGCTGAAGAGTTCAGCCACAATAAACCAGGGGATGGGGCCTGGCCCAATTTCAAAAAAGGCCACAAAGACCAAGATAGCCCCAATACAGACAAAACTCATCCACGAATAGTTATTCTGTAAGAGGAAGGAACAGAGGAAAGTTAATATTAAAAACAGTATGACCTAGGATCCACCTCTCAGAGATGAGCACTGAACAAACAGCACACACACTTTGCCCTGTGGTACTCTGCAGTTACTAGCCTTGGATTAAAGAGTTTGGTCTTTTAAATCCTACCTATGTCATATGTCATTAGGCACTGAGACCACTTCATCATCAATAAAATGTGATATATTAGATAAATTATTTTATAAGCTATGATGTTATGTAAATGTAAGGATTATGATAGTTTATCTACTTCTGATAATAAAACTTTGCTTTGTTTTTTTATGAGACAGAGTCTAACTCTGTTGCCCAGGCTAGTGTGCATGGTCAGCCTAGCTCATAGCAACCTTAAACTCCTGGGTTCAGGGAACCTCTAGCTTCATCCTCCCAAGTAGCTAGGACTACAGGAACCTGCCACAACGCCCAGCTAATTTCTCTATTTTTAGTAGAGGAGGGGTTGCACTCTTGCTTAGGCTGGTCTTCAACTCCTGCTCAAGTGATCTAGCCTTGGCCTCCCAGAGTGCTAGGATTATAGGAGAGGACCACAGGGCTGGCCGATAAAGCTTTCTTTTTTTTTTTTTTTTGAGACAGAGCCTCAAGCTGTCCCCCTGGGTAGAGTGCCGTGGCATTACAGCTCACAGCAACCTCCAACTTC